TCGGAAAATGAACTAAAGTTCCATTATGCACCAAGTTTGTTTTCTGCTTCTGTTTCTGAAGGACGTCTCTTCAGCATAAAAGCAGCTCTTAAAAAAAAAAAAATCTATGAAACCTTCCTCTTATTTTTGGACTCTTTTGAATCCATTGGAGCTGAATGGCTAATAATTTATGTGATCAATTTAAATAAATAAAAACAAATAGTTTGAAAGGAACAATAACCTCTAGTACACCATACTGGTAACCCTTGATTTACAAACAACTGGTTGCTTAACAATCATTCAAAGTTCTGACAGACCTACCTGACAGACCTGAGGGGACAGTTATGACTTGGATGCAAAGTTCTGATGGCCACACACACATACACACACACACCATCATGTGTCCACACACTGAGCACTCGGCAATTGGGCCACATTTATGGCCATTTGCAGCATCCTGTGGTCACATGACCACATTTTATAACCTTTTGCTGAAAACTGGGTTTTGGTGGACCATTGGTTCGCTTAAGGACTGTGGTGTTCACTTAACAACTGCGGATTTGCTTAACGACCATGTTGATTTACTTAACAACCACCACAAAAAAAGTTGCATTTTTATGACGGTCACAAATTACAACTGTGATGGGCAGGCTCCCTTACGGTCGTAAATCGAGGACTACCTGTAATGCATCACATGCAGTGGTGGGATTCAGCCGGTTTGCACCACTTCGGCAGAACCGGTAGCTAATTTTTTGTTGCCCAGGCCCAGAATGGACTTCCGGAAGCGGCATCCACACAGAAAACCGGTTGTTCACATATTTGAATCCCACCACTGATCACACACAAGAAAGGTATAATAAGAACCAAAGAAAGGCCTCACTGGCCTGAATTTCTATAAAGCAGAGCTTTGAATTTCTTAAAACCCTGTAGGAGTTGAGCTGTGTTAGCCTATAGCGGTAAAAAATCAGGAAGGGATTGTCTGGAAGAGTTTTTTTCTAACACATTTTATAAAAAAGCATAAGCATTCGTGAACTGCTGCCAGACTTTTTTTGATCTGTTTCCTAAAGTGACCAGCTAAATGCCTCCAGGAATCCTATAAAGCAGGGGTCCCCAACCTATGGGCCGTAGCCTGGGCCGTGGGGTCTTGGCCAGTGGGCCACGGAAATGGCTGGCCGGTGTGCGTATGCGTAGGTGTGCATTCCCCCCCCCACTCACGTTAGCGCCCGCGGCCTCATTTGTGCATGTGGGTGTGCACGAATGGGGACGCTAGCGTGGGGTGGGTGTCCATGGCCCGTTTGCACATGCACGAACAGGGACGCTAGCCTGGGTGGGTAGCGCAGCCCATTTACGCATGCACGGACGGGGCTGCTAGCCGCTGGAGGGGGGGTTGTGCATGCACATGGCGCAAATGGGGCCGCTGATACCGACGCTAGCCTGGGTGGGTAGCGCAGCCCATTTACGCATGCACGGACGGGGCTGCTAGCCGCTGGAGGGGGGGTTGTGCATGCACATGGCGCAAATGGGGCCGCTGATACCGTGCACGGCCCCATGCACACCCACATCGATTTTGAAGCTGCTCTCGTTCCCTCTGGTCCAAAAGATAGGAGACTTCTGCAATAAAGCACCAGATCCTCCCTCTGAATGGTAATTATTACAGATGATTATCACAGATTCTTTCTCCCCCACAGATTCTATCTAACCTCTAATTTAAAACCCTTTCAGCATCCACTACAATAATATTAACACTGAGTTGTTTAGAGCAGTGTTTCTCAACCTTGACAATTTTAAGGCATGTGGACTTCAACTCCCAGAATTCCACAGCCAGCAATGCTGGCTGTGGAATTCTGGGAGTTGAAGTCCACATGCCTTAAAATTGTCAAGGTTGAGAAACACTGGTTTAGAGGCTTCTTTTTTCACTGATACTGAAGCAGTTTGCCAATCAAAATAAAAACTTCACTAAATACAGGTCGTCTTTGACTTACAGCAGTTCATTTAGCGACCGTTCGAAGTTACAATGGCACTGAAAAAAGTGACTTATGACCGTTTTTCACACGACCACTGCAGCATCCCGATGGTCATATGATCAAAATTCAGATTCCTGGCAACTGATTCATATTTATGACGGTTGCGGTGTCCCAGGGTCATGTGATCACCTTTTGTGACCTTCTGACAAACAAAGTCAATGGGGAAGCCTGATTCACTTAACAACCGTGTGACTAACTTAACAACTGCAGTGATTCAATTATCAACCGTGGCAAGAATGGTCGTAAAATGGGGCAAAATTCAGTTAACAAGTGTCTCAGCAACAGAAATTTTGGGGTCAATTTTGGGGACTACCTGGACCCTTTAGGCCAGTGGTGGCGAACCTATGGCACATGTGCCGGAGGTGGCACTCAGAGCCCTCTCTGTGGGCACACACAGTCGCCCCAGCCCCGCCTCTCCCCACGGCCACCTTCTCACCAGCAGCCCCTCTGGAGGAGAGTCACCCCCGGACACGGACAACGTGGAGCAGCGCAGCCAAGCACATGGCAGCTAGGCAGCGGGGACAAGACTCACGCCCCGTCGCACACAGATGCTGCGGGGCACGGGCGGAGGGCGTGGCTGCCACAGCGCTGCTGGGTCCCCTGGGCGATCTACTGCGGTGGGCCGTGGAGGCAGTGGGTGGCCTTGCGGGGGCGGAGCGGGCAGGGCGCGAAGCGGGGCGGGTGTGGAGGCAGGGGCGGTTTTGGGGTACTCAGTCTCTAAAAGGTTCGCCATCACTGCTTTAGGTGGTTGACTTGAACTCAGTATTTGTTCTGTACCCTGGTTTCAGTTCTTTTCTGGTGATTTTATAAATGTACTTCCTCTTCCCTCATTTGTAACCCACCTCAGAGGCATCTGAATCCAAGAATAGCGAACATAAATTTAAGTAGAGCACATCAGAAAAATGTTCTCCGTGGCAGATAGATAAAAAGCTTTATCACGTTTACTGAATTTTGTTATTGTTTACCTGGAGGAAAAAAGCCTCAAATGCTCAATTTGCACAGGCAGTACTATTGGTTGTAGATCATTTTGGTTCTCCCCCTCCCATCCCCATCTCTACTACCTCTCTCTTGCCCGCCAGATTCTGACAAGCAAAGTCAATTGAGGAAGCCAGATTCGCTTAAAAAAAAAAGAAGCAAGATTCACTTAACTGCTCTGATTTGTTTAACAACCGTGTCACAAAAGGCCCTAAATCGGATGCAACTCACTTTGCTTAGCAATGGAAATTCTGATCCCAATTGTGGTCATATATCCAGGACTGCCTGTACAGCGGTCCCCCGGCTTGTTAGCCCAGAAGCATTTCCACAACTACGCCCTAGAATAGTCTTTCTCAAGTCCAGGTAGTTCTCAACTTACGACTTCAATTGAGCCAAAAACGTCTGTTGGTAAGTGAGAGAAACGTTAAGTGAGCTTTGCCACATTTTATGAACTTTCTTGCCACAGTTGTTAAGTGAATCACTACAGTTGTTAAGTTAGTAACCAGGCTGTTAAGTGAATTTGGCTTCTCCACTGACTTTGTTTATCAGAAGGTTGCAAAGGGGGATCACATGACCCTGGGAGACTACAACTATGGTAAATATGAGAAGTTGCCAAGTGTCTGAATTTTGATCACGTGACCGTGGGGATGCTGCAACAGTTCTAAGATAAGATAACCTTTATTGTCATTTTTTTTTATTGTGGGCACAAGTGAAACACATACATGACACACACCTAAACATACTATATACCACATATGTATAGATCCACACTCCTACATATACATAACAAATAAATATTAAATACTGTCCATCTTGAATATAAAATGGAAGGAGGAAACTTGAAGAGTTCGCAAGGTCAATGCTGTATGAATGAAACTATGGCTGAATCTGGATGTTCTGCTGCGGATACCACGGAGCCCCCTCCTCCCAGAAGGTAACAAGGAAAACAGGTCGTGAAGAAGATGTGTGGTGTCCCAGACAATTTTACGGACCCTGCTCAAGCAGCGCTTCTGTGCTATGTCCTGGATGGGAGGGAGGGAACTGCCAATGATCTTTTCGGCCGTCCTTACCACTCTCTGCACCGCCTTCCTGTCTGAAGCAGTGAGTGTAAAAAACAGCCGTGAGTCACTTTTTTCAGTGCTGTTGTAACTTTGAACAGTCACTAAATGAATGGCTGCAAGTCGAGGACTACCTGTAATTATGGTCTACCCTTCCTAAAGTTGCCAAGAGTGAGAGCACGGCCCTAGAAGTAAACGTTAAGTGGGCAGCCTTACAACTTCAAGCGTGTGATGGTGCCCTTTTATACAAACAGAACTTCTGCCGCAGCTTACGTTGTGTGCTTAGCTAACTACCAAGTCATTCAGCACGATCAAGAATTTATGGTATCAAGTCTCATTATGATATTTAAGATTCAGCCATGCAAATTTTATATCCCTTTTGATAACTTAATGTTTTGAGCATTGCTTAGATCGTTCTGAACATCCAAAATAAAGAGGAGCAGTAAATCATATTGCGATGGTAATGAACTGAAAAAACAATCTGCTTTCATGGGGAAATTCACTGAGATGAAGGTTTTATGCAAAAATAAGAGCTCTGATGCAAAGTAAAACAAGAAATTGGATGCCTGTCCAGCCCCACCCAGCTCAAATCATCTTTGTTGCTCTTCTCTGTACTCTTTTTAGAGTCTCAACATCTTTTTTACACCGTGGTGACCAAAACTGGATGCAGTATTTCAAGTGTGGCTTTACCAAGGCGTTGTAAAGTGGTATTAACACTTCATTACGACAGAGCATCTCCACTTGCCAGAAATTCTTCAGTTCCAGTATTAGGTTTTCCTGAGCTCTCAATGACAGCATGAGATATTTTAGCTAAAAAGCTTCTTGTTTTGAACTTCCAGGTTTAAAAGCACAGGAACCTATTTTCCTTTTCTTTTCCAACCATGCCCGTTTCTGGATTCTCAAGAGCCGGCAGTTTCCCTTCTCTCACCAGGTCAGTTAAATATCCATACAGACATGTACAGACCTTTGTAGTTCACGGTGCGGAGACACTGTTTGCTCTGGATGTCCCACAGCCGAACTGTTTCATCATGAGAGCCGGACAGCAGCAGGCTTCCGTCCGTGGAGATGGAGAGACACGTCACCTGATTCCTATGGAAAGAACAAGGCAGAGGCTTTACTTTGAGGTCCTTCAATGTTTTCTCAAGAGGGGATTTGGGTCCAGATGTCCATGCTCTTGCTCAGCAGAACAAAGATGATTAGGGGACTGGAGGCTAAAACATACAAGGAACGGTTGCTGGAATTGGGTATGTCTAGTTTAGCGAAGAGAAGGACAAGGGGGGACATGATAGCAGTGTTTATTTATTTATTTATTTTTAAGACTTATATGCCGCCCTTCTCCCCACGGGACTCAGGGCGGCTCACAGCATATTAAAACAACATAGTACATTTCCCCAATAAAAGCCAATTAAAAACCAAATATTTGTAGCTGTGTCTCTTATTAAAATCATTAAAAATTATCCCTATTTAAAATTCACCCTAGGTCAGTCCCGCTTNACCCACAGAGAAGGCCCTCCCCCTGGGGGTCGCCAGCCGACATTGCTTGGCCGACGGCACCCTGAGGAGGCCCGCTCTGTGGGAGCGTACCGGTCTGTGGGAGGGAGTCTGTGGCAGAAGGCGGTCTCGGAGGTATCCCGGTCCTATGCCATGGAGCGCTTTAAAGGTGGTAACTAACACCTTAAAGCGTACCCGGAAGTATCTCAGGGGCTGCCACAAAGAAGAGGGAGTCAAGCTGTTCTCCAAAGCGCCTGAAGGCAGGACAAGAAGCAACGGATGGAAACTAACCAAAGAGAGAAGCAACCTAGAACTAAGGAGAAACTTCCTGACGGTTAGAACAATTAACCAGTGGAACAACCTGCCTCCAGAAGCGATGAATGCTCCAACACTGGAAGTGTCTAAGAAGAGACTGGATAGCCATTTGTCCGAAATGGTATAGGGTTTCCTGCCTAAGCAGGGGGTTGGACTTGATGACCTCCAAGATCCCTTCCTCCTCCTCCTCCTCCTCCTCCTCCTCCTCCTACTACTACTACTACTACTACTACTACTTATGATGATGATGATGATGATGTCCTATTACTTCAACATCTATGGTAAGTTGAAAAAAAACCCATATTACACTCTGAAGAGCCCCCCTCTTCCTGTATGGTCATACAGGTAGTCCTCATTTAAAGCCTCCCTTATTCAGCAACTGTCCACAGTTACAACAGTGAGGAAAAAGTAATTTTCTGACCTTTGCAGGGCTGTAAAGCAAAAGAAAGCTGAAGTAAGGTTTTTAAGCATAGTTGTGGTTTCCTTTAGTTATTTGTTTATTAAATTCATATGCTGCATTTCATTACCCAAAGCAACTCTGGGTGGCTTACCAGCCACATTACTTTTTTTTTTTTTAATAATTTATTTTTTATTTTTCCAAACTTTCCCCCATACATATACCGTGATATTTATCAGATATTAACATACATTCTTTTTACATTCTTATATATAAGATACTTTTAATGAAATAAATACATACACATGACTTTTGGTGTTGCTCGCCCATTTCCCCTTTCACTGCATCCCCACTCCTACCTTCTTTCTCCCTTCCTTCTCTTTCTTCCCTACTTCCCTCTTCTTCCTCTCCTCTCCTCTTCTCTTTCACCACTCTCTCCTCCAACCTTCATACTTCCTTCTCCCCTCCTTTACTCTTTTCTCTCTCCTCTCCTTTCTTCTCTCTCATCCCTCTTCAGATACAATTCAGGGGTAATGTCCGAGCAATTCCTCTCTCCATGTTTCCCAATCTATATTATATACAATAAGATTAATTTTCTCTTACGTTAATACTTCTATTTATCTAACCTTCTCAGTATATACGTCTATAAATATGTATACAACCTCCAGTTATTCAATACTATGTCGCCTGGGTCTCCCTCCTTATCTGCTCCTTCTTCTTCCATCTAAATTGATGTTAACTATCTTTTAACCGTATTCTCTTTTCAGCCAATCATAAAAAGTTCCCCAGATTTCATAGTAGTCTGACTCTGTCTTATCTTTAATCGTCATTGTTAGTCTATTCATTTCTGCACATTCCAGTATTTTCCCAATCACCTCTCCCTCTGGGGGGGGGGGGAGCCACATTACTTAATGACTGAGTTGCCAGCCCTGATTTATTAAACAAGGAAACTAAGTCTAAAATTACTTACTTTGATTTTGAAGGATCCTTGGTGGTTTCTGAGCTTGGTTGTTTTCTTACAGATGTTTCATTACCCAAACTAGGTAACAGCACCAGCACTAATGATGTTACCTAGTTTGAGTAATGAAACGACTGCAAGAAAACAACCGAGCTCAGTGACCACCAGGGACCCCTTCATTTCAGCCCCCGAGCTACAAATATTCTCCTTGGTACTTTGGTCTTATTTATCAATGTCATTACTGTAATATTTTTATTAAGAAAATGGTTGAAATGGTACTTGGGATGTCTTTGCTCCCACATTCCAGCCCTCCTCACCAAAGTCCTTTTAACCCTTTGGATAGTACTTGCCCTGGAGAAGGGCCTCTCACTTAGGGATACCTGCTTATAAAATCTGAGTCTCCCAAAAGGTCGTTGCTATCATGATATGTTCTATCTTTCCTTGCTCTTATTTCTCAGACAAAGGTGGAACCAAGACCAGCTCTAATTCCTCATCAAGATATAGGTAGTCCTCAACTTACGACCACAAATGAGCCCCAAATTTCTGTAAAGGCAGGCACAGCCACACTTCTCTGTGCATTAATGATTCACCTGTGGAGATGGTTACCAGCATCAAATTCCAGCAGCTAACGAGTAGGCTGGCTTGGTCGCTCAACAGTAAGAAACTGGTGAAGCGGGCACAGCAGCGCCTGCATTTTCTACGTCACAAGAGAAAAGCACATCTTCCTTTCCCTGTCCTGACCACTTTCTACAGGGGGACGATCAAGAGCATCCTGTCATTCAGCATCACAGTCTGGTTTGGAAGCATCACTGCTTCAGACAGGAAGGCGGTGCAGAGAATGGTGAGGATGGCCGAAAAGATCATTGTCAGCTCCCTCCCTCCCATCCAGGACATAGCACAGAAGCGTTGCTTGAGCATGGTCCGTAAGATCATCTGGGACACTACACATCCTCTTCACAACCTGTTTTCCTTGTTACCTTCTGGGAGGAGGGGCTCCATGGTATCTGCAGCAAAGCATCCAGATTCAGCCATAGTTTCATTCCATACAGTATTAACCTTGTGAACTTTCAAGCTTCCTTCTTCCATTATATATTCAAGATGGACAGTATTTAATATTTATTTGTTACGTACATATCCTCTTCACGACCTGTTTTCCTTACCTTCTGGGAGGAGGCTTCGTGGTATCCGAAGCAGAACATCCAGATTCAGCCAGTTTCATTCTATACAACATTAATCTTATGAACTCTCAAACTTGCTCCTTCCGTTATATATTCAAGATGGACAGTATTTAATATTTATTTGTTATGTACATGTAGGGGTGTGTGTCTATACATATGTTGTACACAGTATGTTTAGATGTGTGTCATGTATGTGTTTCACTTTGAGAGCGGGCAACTAAATTTCATTTTTGATGTGTGCCGTTGTGCCCACAGTAAAAAAATGACAATAAAGGTTATCTTATCTATCTTATCTTAAAGTGAGTTTTGGTCCATTTTATGACCTTTCTTGCCACAGCTCTGGAGTGAATCACTGCAGTTGTTAAGTTAGTAACAATGGTTGTTAAGTGAATCTGACTCCCCCATTGACTTCGCTTGTCGGAAGGTTGCAAAAGGTGATCCCATGATCCTGGGACACGGCAACCGTCGTAAACGTGAGCCAGCTGCCAAGTACCTGAATTCGGATCATGTGAAAAATGGTCATGTCGCTTTTTTTTTTTTAGCACCTGAATGAAACCGTTCATTTAATGACCATTCAGTAACTCTGAATGGTCACTAAATTAATGGTTGTAAATCGAGGACTACCTGTAGAAGGGAACAGCAGCCCATGCTGATGAGATTTAGAAACTGGGGTTGAACCAAGGATTGCCATTTTTTCAGGTGGCAGCGCCCCCTGTGCAATCTCACCCAATGGCTGCACGTGCCCAAGGAGAGATTATGGCGTACTCATCTCAAGAACCCATCTGAGACGATCAAAGTCTTGAAAAATGTCAGCCACGTGATTTTTATTTGGGCTTTTGTTGTCTTGGTATTATGAAAGACATTCATTCCTGCTGTTGTGAGTCCGTGCCAGCCACTGGACCAGGCAGCTGAGTCTGGGGAATCAGCGGAGAAGCCTGGAGAGCCATCAGAGTCAGAGGAAGGCTCTGATGAGCTCCAAGACTTACAATCTGATGAAGAGCCTGGCCCCTCCACTCGTGCTCAGGCTGAGACTTAACTGTGCGGGGAAGCCGAGTCAGACTCTGAGGACTCACAGCTGGAAGACATTAAAGACGATCGCAAACGCAGACAGGCAACAAGAGCAGGACAGAGGGAGGCAATGGGGCGACTCCAAGGGAGGAGGAGAAGGCATTGAGAAGCCACGCCTTGGGGCTGCATAATAAAAAGGGAAGGTGTGGGCGGTGCTGGTGGCTGAAGGCAACCGTTTGCAAAGGAATCAAGTTTCATGGAATCCTGTTTTGTCTGCCTTGCTTGTGAACAATTCTCCATTTGAATCGTGTTGTTTGCCTTGGACAATTCTCCGTTTGCATCGTGTTTTGTTTGCCTTTGCTTTTGGGACATTTTGCAGGTCTGTACCTAATTAATAAAAGAGGTTTGTTTTTCCTGCATTTCCAGCCTACTTGTTAAAAGAGGGGTTTGTCCTTGTGAATTAACAAGGACTCACACAGGCTGGGACAGAACACCTGCAGCAGCCATAAGTGGAAGCCATGCTGGCTCAAGCTAAACATTCAAGCCTTGCCAGTTCAAGAAAGGAACAGAAAAATGATATTCTCACCTATGTCCTTTGAAGAGCTTTCCATTCTCCTGCTCAGACTGAAAACCTCTTTCTCTTTGCACAGGCTGAGAGAAGGGAGAGAATTATAGTTTAATGCACCATTCTGGATAATTAAACAGGGATGAAAGTTTGAGGAAACTGCCTCCTTCCAGGTTAATAATCCATTATATTCTTTATATTTTGCTCAGGCATCATTACTTTGGTAGAGAGACCTTCCCGTTATTGGTTGCCTAAGAGCAAGAGCCCTGGTGGCGCAGCGGTTAGAATGCAGGTTATTTCTGCTGACTCCTGGCTGCCAGCAGTTTGGCAGTTCGATCCTGACCGGATCAAGGTTGACTCAGCCTTCCGTCCTTCCGAGGTTGGTAAAATGAGGACCCAGATTGTTGGGGGCAACATGCTGACTCTGTAAAACTGTTTAGAGAGGGCTGTAAAGCACTATGAAGCGGTATATAAGTCTAAGTGGTATTGCTATTGCTCATACTTTTAAACTGGAGGTACTCACGATTCCTATCTTCCATTGGACGATAGTTGCTCTAGAACAGGGGTTCCCAACCGGGGGTGCGAGACGATATTCTAGGGCAGTGATGGCGAACCTTTTAGAGACCGAGTGCCCAAACTGCAACTCCAAAGCCCACTTATGCATCGTCGGGTGCCGGGTGAGTGTGGCCCATTAGGTGGGTGTGCCCATTGGGTGGGCATGGCTGCAGTGGTAACAGCAGACTGGATGGGACTAAAAAGTTCAATCAATCAATTCCAACTTTGCGAGAAGTTGAAATTGACTGACTGATTGAACCTTTTTTTTTTTTTGCACACGGCGGCGGAAGCCTAAAGTGAAAAGGTTTTATAAAACCCAGCTGAAGGCCTAGGACTGGGGTGATGGCGCACGTGCCCACAGAGAGGGCTCTGAGTGCCGCCTCTGGCACCCGTGCCATAGGTTTGCCACCACTGTTCTAGGGGGTGCGAAATCTTGGCTTTTCAAAATTATAGTGCATATGCATAATTCGTTGCTGTTATTTTGAACTTTTATAAGGGGTGCGAGAATATATCAGAAGCGCTCTAGGGGTGTAGAAAAGGTTGGGAACCGCTGCTCTAGACCAGGGCTTTTCAACCTTTTCACCCATTGTACCACTTTTAGGATATGGCAATATCCGAGTACCACCCGTCGATAGCAAGGTGTCAAAAACTTGATGACCCAAAAAAAAAAAAAAAAAAGGAAAAAAGTGATAAAAGTACAGGTAGTCCTCGACTTACAACAGTTCGCTTAGTGACTGTTCGAAGTTACAATGGCACTGAAAAAAGTGCCCCCCAAGGCACAGCCAAGCAAGACACCTGCCTGCCGGCGCTCTTCCTCCTGTCCGAGGTTTTCATTGTTGTGAGCATTTCTGTTGAGGATTGGCACTGGGGGTGGGGTGGGGGGGTGTTTGGTTTTTATTCCCCCCCGTCTGCTGGAGGGTTGCAGCAGGTTTTGGTCACTTCACAAGACCCTGGGACACTGTGACCATCATAAATATGAATCAGTTGCCAAGCATCTGAATGTAAATCACAAGACCCTGGAGATGCTGCAACATTCCAGCTGATCGGTGCTTCTTCAGGGCTCAGAAGCACCAGGATCAGCGCCGAGCTTCAGCTGGAGCCTGGCGCTGATCCTGGCGCTTCCACTGAGCCCTGACAGCCCTGCAGTTCCAGCCATCTCTTGCTCAGGCTTGTGTGGTGCTGCCACCGGTTCAGCTCATTCCCTTCCCCCCGCTACCACTTTTCTAGGATGGTCGCGTACCACCTGCCAGATGGTACCCGTACCACTGGTTGAAAAGCCCTGATCTAGAAGAAAACAGAGATTTGCTGTTGAAATTCACACCCAGGCCTTTGGCGTTTGAGGTACTGTAACCTTAAGGCTGCCCACCGACATTGCTTCCCTCCCTGAAAATCAATTTATATTCTGCTCAGGTAGGAGAAGGGAAGTGTTCTGTGAAGACAGAATTAAGGAGTCTCTGAAAAACGGAAAGTAGCAGGCTATGGAAGAAGCAATGACCATTAAAAGCAAAACAAAACCAGGAGGTGGTTTTGTTCCTTAACCCAGTTAGGAGAAAGCAGGATTTGGGGTGACTTGTGCTGTCGAGCTTATCTGCAGGAACACAAAGTCCAAAAGACAACAGTGCTACATTGCAGTCACATTTTAATGAGGTATATTGTATTAGTTAATTATGGTTTTCTTTCTCTTTTTCTTTTCTGGGCTGCTTAGAGCGCCGTGGCTTCAGTTGGGTGGCCATATTAATAAGAAAGCATGGGCCATACAGATCTGGCTTTCCATTCTTGACTTAACAGAGTTAACAGACTCACAAAATGAGGCATTATTTGTTCACAATGTAAGGAAGGACCTTCTAACTCTTTCCTTTATAACATTAGCAATAGGACTTAGAGTTATATACTGCTTCACAGGTCTTTATAGCCCGCTCTAAGCGGTTTACAGAGTCAGCATATTGCCCCAAACAATCTGGGACCTCATTTTATCGACCTCGGAAGGATGGAAGGCCGAGTCAACCTTGAGTCGGTCAGGATTGAACTCCTGGCCAGTTAGCCTGCAGTACCTCATTCTGACCACTGCGCCACCACGGCTTATATCAGTGATGGCGAACCTTTTAGAGACCGAGTGCCCAGAAACCACCCCTGCCCCTGCCCCACCCACCCCGCTCTGACCCCACCCCACCCTCAGTCCTGCCCGCCCGCAGGGCCACTCACCACCTCCACACAGATCGCCCAGGCAGCCCAGCAGCGCCGTGGTTGCCACGCTCTCCACCTGCGCCCCACAGCTTTAACTGCATGCGACGACGCGAGGGCGGAGTCTTGTCTGCGCTGTCTAGCTGCCAGGTCCTTGGCTGCGCTACTCCACGCAGGCCAAGTTCGGGAGCAACTCTCCTCCAGGGGAAGCTGCTGGTGAGGAGGCCGCGGGGGGAGGCGGGGCTGGGGTGACGGCACATATGCCCACAGAGAGGGCTCTAAGTGCTGCCTCTGGCACGCGTGCCATAGGTTCGCCACTACTGGCGTGCCTGGCTGAGGAATTCTGGGAGTTGAAGTCCACAAGTCGTAAAAGGGCCAAGTTTGAAGACCCCTGGTATAAATCATGTAAGATTACACTTCTCACCTCAAGTGCAAGTAGACTTATGATCATAAATGAGCCTGAAATTTCAGTCCTAAGTCATTGTGATCATGGGCCAAGGCATCATGTGACCGGATTCAGAGTTATAACCCTTTTTTTCACGGTCATTTAGTGAACACCATGGGTGTTAAGCAAACACCATGGTTGTTAAGCAAATCTAGTTCCCCCAATGTGCATTTCTTTTGCTAGAATCTAAATGCTGGAGAGTAGTTAAAAATGTCACATGACCGCAGGATGCTGCAAACAGCTGTAAAGATGAGCTGGTTGCCAATCGCCCAAAATGCGATCATATGACTGCTCTGTGTTTGTGCGTCCATCATAATTCCAAGAATGGATCATAAATCGCTCTGGGGAGATCCATTGTAACTTTGAATGGTTAAGAAAAATTTGTCTCAAGTCAAGAACTATCTGCATCGTGAGATTTAAAGCAAGAAGGGGAAAAAACCTCACAGGGTTTGGTAATCGTGTGAAGTCTTGGCCATTTGTTAATTTAATTTACTTTTTTAAATATATTTTTGCATCCATGCAATACCTGTCCTAAAGCGCAAAAGATTTCTATAGAACATAACAATCTTATTAAGGTCTGAGATTTCATCCCATTTCGCTGCCCGAGGCACCTTGGGATGACTACCAGAAGCTGCACAAAATGGGACCTACCCAGGAGCAGAGGTCAACCTGGAAGACGGAACCATCCAACCCGCCACAGAACATGTGGTATTCCGCAAGGTCAAGGGTCACTGACATGATGCTCACATCGAAGACGACAGAGAGGAGAAGGTTCCCGGAGGAGATCTCCCACAACTGAGAATGAGAAAAGGTGCACATTAAATCCAGTTTTTAGCTATAATGCTACAAAATTAAGCCTGGTGCCAGTCTATGAATATGACATGTATTATGCACAAATGGCAATATATTGGGATTTTTACACAGAGAAACTCTGCTTTTCAGGGATTCTAGAAAAAGATTCGGCAAGAACAAAAAGGCGATTGAGTTCTTATAAATGCATCTTCCCCAACCTGGCATTTATCCAGATTCTGTCCCTTCCCTTGAGATTAAGCCCACGTGCTGAGCGCTGCGCTTTCTGCTGTTGTTTCTCCTAGCTCAGTGATGGCGAACCTTTTAGAGACCGAGTGCCCAAAAACTGGCCCCGCCTCCACTCCACCCCCCCTCCGCCCCCACCCTGCCTGCCCACAGGGCCACTCACCGCCTCCAGGGCCTACCGCAGATTGCACAGGCAGCCCAGCAGCGCCTTGGCGGCCACACCCTCTGCCTGCGCCCCACAGCATCAACTGTGCTGTGGGGCCCTGGCTGCCTATCTGCCATGTTCTTGGCTGCGCTGCTCTACGTGGGCCACGCTCAGGGGCAACTCTCTTCAGGGGGGCTGCTGGTGAGGGAGTTGCGTAGGGAGGCGAGGCTGGGGCAATGGCACGTGTCCCACAGAGAGAGCTCCAAGTGCCGCCTCTGGCACGCGTGCCATAGGTTCGCCACCACTGTCCTAGCTTGTGTCTTATAATCCAGATGGAATTTTAGATAACCCAACCTCAGGGAAACAACCATGGCTTCAATTAATCAGGCTGAGGCTCGCTGGTACTGCCAACTGTATAAAAGCTGGGAGGGAAACCTGGGGTATCCGAAGGAACGCATCGCAGCACACACGACGGCAATTTTGTGGCTGAGGCTACTTTGCATACAGGCAGTCCTTGTTTAACAGCCACTCGTTCGGTGACCGTTCCAAATTACGATGGTGTTGAATGAGGGGTACTTAGGACAAATCCTCATAGCTGCGGCTGTGGCAGTGTCCCCCATTGCAATTTGGGATCTTGGCCACCAGCTTGAAGTTATGACATCGCAGGATCCCACAGTCACATGATTATCATTTGTAACTTTCACTGTCAGCTTCCATCAAGCAAAGTCAATAAGGAAGCCAACAGGAGGTTGCAAATGGTGATCACACGTGCAGGAAATGCTGTGGGGTTCGCTTAATGATGTTAACTGGGATTGCTGGAACTACCACTGCAAGTTGGCACAGTCACGTGAAGCTGTGCCTTATAACTGCGTTGCTTACTGACAGAGTTCCCAATCCCAATTACTGTTGTTAAATGAGGACCTACGATACCTTGAAAGTTGTAGACTGTCCGTAATACAAAACATTTATATACAAAAACAAAATATTTATGTTACTTATATGTAAGGATGTAGGTCTATACCAGGGGTAGGCAACCTTGGCTCTTTTATGACTCGTGGACTTCAACTCCCAGAATTCCTGAGCCAGCATGGCTCAGCATGGAAACCTCTCCCTTTCCCCTCAGCATGGCTGGCTCAGGAATTCTGGGAGTTGAAGTCCACGAGTCCTAAAAGAGCCAAGGTTGCCTACCCCTGGTCTATACATATGTCGTATACAGTATTGTTTAAATGTGTGTTATGTACTTTCAGAGCAAGCAACTAAATTTCATTTTTAATGTGTGTCCTTGTGCCCACAGTAAAAAAAATGACAATAAAGGTTATCTATCTAACAGTAATAGGCACCATGACTGCGAAAGATTTCCAATTTTGAGCTGAGGGGTTTCATTTTTCTTACACTCCAGCTAAATGCCAAGGATATGGTGCTGTTGTTTTGGTTCTTGAATCGGGAACATCCAGCATTTAACTCATCCCTCTTTTCCCCCCAAATTCTTTACCTCTCCTGGTATCCTGAGACTAGACAGAACACCAGGTGAGGTTATTTTACAATAAGTTCAGTTCCACGTATTGTTTCCAAGTAGAAATTTCTGAACTGTGTTATACAGTACATAGGACAGAAAAAATCCATGCTGAGAACAGCTCTAAATCAAGGATTATATCGCCCCGCCCTTCCAAGCAGGGTTCCTGTCCAGAAATCTTTAGAAAAGCTGCACGGGATTTGTTGTGCGTAAGCAAAATCTTTCCATTTCCAGACCTACCAAGCATACCAGCACAAATGAATATGCCTATGTACATATTTGCCAAGCAGTGGTTATAATTCCTACCTTAAAAAGGATTTGGCATGAACCAAGCAATTCGATTCCCTAGCTATGTATAAAATTCTTGTGATCTGGTTCTGGAACATTTCATTTTTCTCCTAAAACAGACTGAACTTCCTTTTCTGCACACAGTTTGTTGTTTTTCAGAAGTGGATCTTTAGGAACAGTTAAGTGGTTTGTTCTGCAACAAATTCAGTTGCAGAGAAACACTAACAGTTTAACTAGAGAATTTTGGGAGAAAATCAGAATATTCCAAGAACACCACATTTTGCCCAAAACTATAATGCAGCTAGTCCTCAACTTACGACCACAACTGAGCCCAACATTTCAGTTGCTAGGCGAGACAGTTGTCAAGTGAGTTTTGTCCCATTTTACAACCTTCCTTGCCACAGTTGTTAAATGAGCCACGGCAGTCATTAAGTTAGTAACACAGTTGCTTTAAGTGAATCTGGCTTCCCCTTTGACTTTGCTGGTCAGAAGGTTGCAAAAGGTGGTCATGTGACCCCGAGACACCGCAACCATCATAAACATGAGTCAATTGGCACGAGTCTGAATTCTGATCATATGGCCGTGGGGATGCTGCGACGGTTGTAAGTGTAAAAAACGGTCATAAGTCACTTTTTTTCCAGTGTCGTCACTTTGAACAGTCACTAAACGAATGGTTGTAAGTCGAGGACTCCCTGTGCTGCTTCCAAACCGAGTATGATTACCTTTGCTGTTTGGTCCAAGGAGGCCGTGGCAGCTCTGGCCAAAGGACCACCAACTCCACAGCAGAGATCTGTGATGGGAAGGCTGTGACGTGACCACACGTGGCGGGGCTCAGGGCTCTGGCCGTGGTCCACCTGTAGCACACTAAGAAATGAATTGGTTTTAACACCGTAAATAGGAAAGTTGTAGGCAAGGATGGATTTGGAGTTGCTGCCTCCCTGCAGATGTGCACACCATTTCCTCTCTAAAGCAATAACGCTGAACGTGTGTGTTAGGGAATTTAGGTGGAAATCAATTGAGCAGATAATTACAGGCTGCCCGTTTTATCTGTACATTGTTTTTGACAAAAGCCTAAACCTTTAGACTTCCTCCCGTTGTCTCTACCTTTCGTTTTAGAGCAACATGTCTGAATCTGACCAAATGAGGAAAAGAAACTTTGTCAGCTTCCTGTAGACACTGAATAATCTCAGAAATTCATTCACTGGGACGTGTTTGGGGAATGTTTTTTTCCCCATCTCCCAGAATCTTTTTTTTTTCCTCCTGACCTTTAAAGGCTTTAATATTATTCTTTTCAGCCTAAGCAAACAGCCTTACTTTCATCTATCACGCATGCCACCGAGGATAACAACTAAAAAGAGAAGATACTGTAGAGATAACCCCTAAATCCTGGCCAATAACTCTCTCCCTAAATATCAGTGTAAAAATGGCATTCTGATCCTTTTTTTTTTTGCAAAACTTGTTTAATTCTACAAAGTTTTTAGATCAAGGTATAATATGGCCTTATTGTTTAAACTACTCAGGAGATCATGTGATGTCGATGAATCCAAACTTAAAAGGTACTTCTTTAAAATAAATTATCAATAATTAAATAATACAGAATTAAAAGTAATTTAATTTAAAGCTTAACCTGGACATAACTTTGGCTGGACATCTTTGTGAAGATAATACAAAGATATAGAAGTATAGCCAGCCGTACCAACAGGATGAAGAACAGCTTCTATCTATGGGCTGTCAGGCTCTTGAACGGGAAATAACTTTATGTATGATAGATTCGTGAGGCCGGTGTGTTGTGCAATTAGTTCACATGGTGTAATAAGTTGGTGGGTTTATTGTCACTGTGAGTTGGGGGGGGGGAAGCAGGGAGGGAGGCTCACCCAATCTCATTGTATACTTGTTGTACTTTGATAATAAAGGTTCATTCATTCTACAAAGGATCGCCTTCTGCACAAAAGTGGGACGTACCTCCTCTAAAGTTCAGGACACTTTCAATAATATGTTAATGCTGGTGCCCAAAATAACATTCACATTCAAGAGCATGGGCAAATGCAGTGATGCTGATCGCGTGGGCAGAATTGGGAAATGGGAGGCCATTTCAATTCATACCTGTACAGGCTCCACACTATGACAAGACAGTCTTTGGCTCCAGAGAGAAAATGGCTGCTATCATCCGTGAAGGCCAAGCAACTTAAGTCCTGATAATGTCGATTCAGGATAGCCAGCAGATTCCCACTAGATACCTGCAGGGAAAAAAAAGAGGAGGAGTAGAAATAAAGAGATGAAATTGAAGGTCCGGAGCTTCTCCTGCAAGTGGACCGATCTATATCTCTCTAAAATTCTGATTCCGTAACCTCTGACTGCTTGAAATATTGCACCATGGAGCAAAAAGCATTTTAACCAAGGTACCTCAAAAGGGCTACCCTACAGAATGCATCCAAAATCCAGGACCCCACGACTCAAGTGGAATTGAAATTTGGCAATTTTTTAAATAAAATATTTTATGACATAAAAATGATCACAAAACAATTTGTGACATAACGCAAAATATCATATTAACATTTCCTGTGACGTTTGAGTGTGTTTGTGTGTACACACACACACACCCCTCTGAATATCTTCCAGAATTTATTTATTTATTTAAAAGAATTTATATAACTGCCCATCTTTCAACTAACTCTGGGCCGCTCCCAATCAAAAATTAACATATAAAATCTTATCATTACTGTAAAATCACTGATTAATAAAACATTAACAAAAACATTAATAGCAATGTTAGAACGTTTTACTTCCACAGAAAGAGCAGTGGAAGGTTGGAACAAACTCCCAGAGGAGGTAGGGGGTCAATCATCAGTACCTGATGGTTGAGATAAACACAGGTCCATCATCTGACAAAAATAAATAAATAAATTAAAATAAAATAACAATAATAATAATAAAATAAATAATAAAAGAGTAACACCATCAAACACCATGTGTGTTTGGTGGTATTTGATAGGCACCATACGTGCCTATTTGCAGGTCTTTGGGAAGGACTCAATAGGCAGACAAAAATGTTAAATCCAGTCTGAATATCTGGGTGATTGTGCAATGGACTATAAAAATTAATAACAATAAATAAATAAATTAGAAAACAAAAGCAAAAAAAAACCTCAAAGGGCAGACTAGATGGATCCCTGGATCTTTTCCTGCCATCGATTTTTTATGTCCCTATTAAACCAAATGCACAGGTATAGTATAGGTTGTACCTTGCTCAATAGTAGCAACTGTGAGAGGGATCTTAGAGTCCTAGTGGACAATCACTTAAATATGAGCCAGCAGTGTGCTGCAGCTGCCAAAAAAGCCAACACAGTGCTAGGCTGCATTAACAGAGGGATAGAATCAAGATCACGTGAAGTATTCTCTAGCTACCTCGTACAAGGAAAATCTTTACAAGATGTTCTATAGATGGCACTTCCCACCCGCAAGGTTAGCCAAAATGGGTCCAAATATCTCACCTTTATGCTGGAAATGTAAATCAGCAATAGGATCATATTACCATATGTGGTGGGAATGCCCAAAGGCTCGTGAGTATTGGAACAGGACACGATGTTGGTTGAAAGATATATTAATATTGGACTTAGAGTTAAAACCTGAACTCTTCTTGTTGGGAATAACTATAGAGAAATACGATAAGGGAACAATCTATTTGCTGTTACACATCTTGACTGCAGCTAGGCTTGCGTTTGCGCAAAAATGGAAGAGCAAAGAAATTCCCACAGAGGAAGAGTTACTATATAAAATATTAGCATGTGCGGAAATGGACAGGCTCACAATGGTATTGAAAGACAAATGTGGATCAGTTTATTTCGAAAACTGGGATAAATTTTACCGCTGGAGGGATTCGAGGAGGACAGTTGGGATTAAAGACCAGTGTTAAGATAGAAATATATGTTATTTTAGAATAAGTACTGTATATAAAACTTAGATGTATATCTTGATATGAAGAATCTATTGTAAAATGTGGAATAATTTGATAAGACTGTACATACTGGAATGTCACGTTATATCCAATGTTTTTTAATTGTATTATAAATAAAATTTTGGGGAAAAAAAAAGATCACGTGAAGTATTAATACCACTTTACAATGCCTTGGTAAGGCCACACTTGGAATACTGCATCCAGTTTTGGTCACCACAATGTAAAAAAGATGTTGAGACTCTAGAAAGAGTACAGAGAAGAGCAACAAAGATGATTAGGGGACTGGAGGCTAAAACATACAAGGAACGGTTGCTGGAATTGGGTATCTCTAGTTTAATGAAGAGAAGGACGAGGGGGGATATGATAGCAGTCTTCCAATATCTCAGGGGTTGCCACAAAGAAGAGGGAGTCAAGCTATTCTCCAAAGCGCCTGAAGGCAGGACGAGAAGCAATGGATGGAAACTGATCAAGGAGAGAAGCAACTTAGAACTAAGGAGAAACTTCCTGACAGTTAGAACAATTAACCAATGGAACAACCTGCCTCCAGAAGCAGTGAATGCTCCAACACTGGAATTTTTTAAGAAGAGATTAGACAGCCATTTGTCTGAAATGGTATAGGGTTTCCTGCCTAAGCAGGGAGTTGGACTAGATCAGGGGAGTCAAACTGCCGACCCGTAGGACGCGTCATGCGGAAGCCGCGTCCATCCCATTGCCGGCAATGGCAAAACCGTCCCGATACGTTGCGCAATGTCACGTGATGTCACGAGTTTGACATGTCTGGACTAGATGACCTCCAAGGTCCCTTCCAACATCATCATCATCATCATTATCATCATCATACAAAACCCTTGCACCAAATCAAACTTTTAACATGCAATTATCTAGCCTTCTCCCAGGCCTTGGGGAAAAAGCCAAGTCTTTTTAAAATCTTTTCCAGGGAAGGCAATCCATTGGAAGCTCTGCTGTTGTTGAAGGCATCAAAGAATCTGGTAAGGAAATATCTCTGAAAGGTTGACAAGCGGCTCACAGCTCACAGGTTGTCTAGTTTCATATACACAAGCGTGCAGTACAGAAAGCAATGATTCATCATAGCAAGGTACCTAATAGGGTCGATTCACATGCCATAAAATTATTGTGTCAGATTTGGAAGTAGCTGTGGATCTGTCATCTCTCCGACCTACTTCGGATCCTTGCACGGCAGGATGCAGTGACAGCAGCTTTGACAAAGGGTCACCGGGGGAAAACTTTTTTCATCATGGAATGCTTTACTGTCCCATTTTACATGAGCTCCTGCCTGAGCAAAGAATCTCAGAAATTCAAAGCCTGGTTTATTATTTTGTGAAGTAACAAATTAAACCCAGGAAACTTATTTTCCCATTTGGGAAATATTATTTTTCCAACTGAAATTCTCATAATCTCATAAAAGACTTAATTAATGTACTGCATTACAAATTAATCTGTGATACTGTATAGTAATTGGCTTTTCAGGAACTTTAGACATCGATTTACTTTTGTGGGAGGGTCAGTTTGGGGCCAGTATTATACTCTTTTCTCCAAATTTTATCACTTCAAATAGTGAGATTGCTGTTATAGGAATGAAGCTATTTGCGGACTGATTTATTTGCCTGAGACCTTTGTGACTTGGAAGGGAACACAAGATGATGGACAGCATGCTGATCCTCATGGCTTTTGAGTTTTTCATTTAAGAACCTCTGATACATTCCTGAGGATCACTATACTTTGTATTATGAGTGCTATCCAACATCCTGATCCAACTGGAAAGGTTAAGTAATGTACAACAATATTCGTACAGAAAAAAAGAAGCTTTTGAACTCTTAAAAATCTTTTACCTTATTCTTTTCCATTCCAAAATCTGGCAACTCTAATGGTAACGAGGTTTAACTCTGGTTCTTTATAACTGCAGACAAATCCTTGTTGACTGACAGGCTACTCTGAACCAGGAACCATAATATTCTGATTGCAAGCGATTGTTTTTCATAAACCACAGTTTGTGCTAACAGTTAATTCATGGAATCACAGCCATAAAGACAACGTGGCAATAGAGAAATTAATGGAGTGGTCCTGCCACCTGCTATTTTTTTTTTATCTAGCAGCTTTCTTCCAGATATAAATCACTCCAAATGGCTCAGCTTGAAACAATAGCTAACATTTTAGCCGACACAATACAAATGGAGAAAAGAGAAAAGAGAGACAAGAGAAAGAGAAATTATTTGATGTCTCCAGCTACAGCAGGAGAGTGTTGAAGGACATTCTGGAGACACTGCCTTCTATGAACCTTCAGAGGATTAGGTGGTAGAGCTATATAGCCATCAACCATTCCACAAAATGGCTTCCAGGTTTCCACCTACTCCAAAATTTAATGATCGCAATGGAAACTGCTTCCAGCTGAAGAATAAGGAGAGGCAGATTCGCTCCTCCTTCTGATGCAGCCATCTGGAAGGGTGCCTTTGGAAGCAAGTAAAGAAAGCAGGGGATTGGACTAGAACAGGGGTCCCCAACCCCCGGTCCATGGACCAGTACCGGGCCGCAGCATGCCAGCAACTGGTCCGCAAACAGAGCCCCATCCATGAGATGCAGGCAGCACACAAAACCACACACCCTCCAGTCCGCGGAAAAAACTCTCTTCACAGAATGGTCCCTGGTGCCCAGAAGGTTGGGGACCTCTGGACTAGAAGACCTTCAAGATCCCTTCCGGTCCTATGATTCTATGTTCTAAAGGAAAAACCTGATAGCCTGAGTTTGTAAGGGAAAGTGGGAAAATCTTGTCTCAGATGCAGCCAAGTGGGAAGATGCACCTGGGCAGAATGGATGAAATTCTTCTAAAGTTCTGAAGAGGACCTTGTCAGAGAGGGAGCTGTCAAAGAACGGTAGTGGTCTAGGCCAGGGGTAGGCAACCTTGGCTCTTTTATGACTCGTGGACTTCAACTCCCAGAATTCCTGAGCCAGCATGGCTCAGCTTGGAAACCTTTCCCTTTCCCCTCAGCATGGCTGGCTCAGGAATTCTGGGAGTTGAAGTCCACGAGTCATAAAAGAGCCGAGGTTGCCTACCCCTGCTCTAGGGCATTAATCTGCGCCTTGTTTGCAGGCTTCCTCAAAACACGAACCTGGCTGTTGTTGGAAACAAGAATAGCGGGACGGCTAATCTTTGCATAGGGACACCTCCATAGAGGCCGATATAAAGTCTGAAGTCAGGGAAAAAAAACTGTTTCAACTTCATCTCCCTCCCTAAGAGTCCACAGAACACAAAAACGCTTCGTAGAC